TGGATAAAATGAGTTCAGCTTGGGAGGCAAAGGGTTCTCCATTACAGCAACAACAACAAAAAAAAAACCTTACAGAAAATAAATAAAATATGTAATATAAATAAATAGTAATAAATTTAAAATATCAATAATATAATTAATAAATTAACAATATTAACAAATAAAATCAAATATCTGTGGGTTGTTTTGGATAAAATGAGTTCAGCTTGGGAGACAAAGGGTTCTCCATTACAACAAAAACAGCAAGAAAAAACTTATAGAAAATAAATAAAATATGTAATATAAATAAATAGTAATAAATTTAAAATATCAATAATTTAATTAATAAGATTAATGAATAAATATCTGTGGGTTGTTTTGGATAAAATGAGTTCAGCTTGGGAGGCAAAGGGCTCTCCATTACAACAACAACAACAACAAAAAAACTTATAGAAAATAAATAAAATATGTAATGTAAATAAATAATAATAAATCTAAAATATCAATAATATAATTAATAAATTAACAATATTAACAAATAAAATCAAATATCTGTGGGTTGTTTTGGATAAAGTGAGTTCAGCTTGGCCCAGGGTGGGGAAGGGGAAGGGTGAACACAGCTCAGGGTTTCTCCATAATTCTGTGGGGATTCCTGAAAAGAACAGGGACATCTTCCCACGGATGGATCCATGGGGATGCAGCCCAGCTCTGTGGGGCTATTTGAAGGGAATGGGGCTGGTGACAGGGACCAGACCCCCTCGGGGCYCTGGAGCTGCTCATTTGATCCCATTTTCCCTCTTTTTGGAGCTGGCAGAAGCCCTGGCTCCTTCCTGCACTGTGGCTCAGGGGCTGTAACAGCCAGAAAACCCCAGAGCAGGAGCCAGAGTCAGGGCTGACCATAAAACCTGGGACTGTTTCTCAAAACTCATCAAAAACTGAAGCAAAGAGGGAGAAACAGCCAGAGCAGCTCACTTCCCACCCAGTGAAAATCCTCCCGCCTCCCAGAAATCAGATTATTCCTGGGATTTYCCTCATTCCTGATTATCCAGGCAGCTCTGAGAGCCCAGATCCTGCAGACCCCACTCACAGTTCCTGTGCTTTCTCCTCGGTGAGCTGCAGGCAGGAGAGCACGGCGTGAGCTCCTCTCCTCTGCTCCAAAATCCGGCAGCACTCGGTCCTCAGGGTCCCACTGGCCAGAGAGAGAGAGAGAGAAATGGGAAAACAGCCCCTAGAATGGGAACAACCATGGAATGGGAATAAACCCTAAAATGGGAACAGCCCCTGGAATGGGAACA